TCTGGAAACAAAAGGTCACCTGAGGTTGGCCAAGACACGCCCATTCCCCAGAATCTGGGGAGGATTTAATCTCTCACTTTGAGAGCAAAAGATAACAAAAAGGAGGAACCTGGTTTTTACATTTATAAAATTACAATCTAGTTATATATTCAAATTTGTTCACATTATGCCATATATATTTTTTCAGACTTGTCTTTGAATTAAGCAGCCTGGTACAGATCTCCAGATAACAAAGATAATCTTATCATGTACCTCGGCCCAACATATTTTCATTAAAAGTTTTCCTCTTTTATCCCTGATCACGTGGCTCAGGGGGATGGAGCATTGTCTGTACACCAGAAGGTTGCAGAAGGTTGCAGGTTTGTTCCCCAGTTAGATGTGCAACTAAGGGGGGGGGGGCAGCAACCGATCTCTCTCTCTCTCTCTCTCTCTCTCTCTCTCTCTCTCTCTCTCCCTTCCCCTCTCTTTAAAATCAAATATATATATATATATATATATATATATATATATATATATATCCTCAAGTGAGAATTTTAAAAAATGTAGTGGGAAGTGGGTAAGAGTATAGAAGGGATAAATGGTGATGGAAATAAATTTAAATATATATATTTAAAAATCAAAGTTTCCCTCTTAACCATAAGACCCAGCAATTCCACTTGTGGGTATTTGTCCAAAGAAATCCAAAACACTAATCAAAAAGATATATGCACCCCTATGTTTGTTGCAGCATTATTTACAATAGCCAAAATAAGGAAGCAATCTAAGTGTCCATCAATATACAAATGGGTAAAGAAGATGTGGTAAATATATATACAATGAAATAATCCTCAGCCATGAAGAAAAAAATGAAGTTTTGCAACAACATAGATAGACCTAGAGGATATTATGCAAAATGAGATAAGTCAGACAGAGGAAGACAAATACCATATGATTTCACTTGCATGTGGAATCTAAAAGATGAATAAACAAACCAACAAAACAGAAACAAACTCATAGGTACAAAGAATGAATCGATGTTTGCCAGATGGGAGGGGCTTGGAGGAAAAGGTAAAGGCTTAAGAAACATAAGTTGGAAGTTATGGGGATGTAAACTATAGTATAGGGAGTATAGTCAAGATGGGTAGAAGACTTACCAGGGGGAATCACCTCATAAGTTATATAAAGGTTTTATTATGCATACTGAAACTAATATAATATTGATTGTCAACTAATATAATATTAATTTTTAAAAATAAAATGTAAATAGAATGGGAAAGTATTCATCCACAATTTTGCGTGCCAATTTTTTTTTAAAAAAGTTTCCTCCTTAGGGGAAAAAAAAAATAATCAGTCTTGTTATTCTGAAAGCTAATATAAAACTTATGTAAAAGTCACATGACCTGTCATTTGCCTTCCCTTATTTGCTATATACGCCACAGTGCCCAAACTTCTTACCCCATGCCTGGCCCAAAGTAAGAGCTCAAACCATACTTGATGCAGGAACAATGATATATTTCTTGGCTGAACAGTGAAGTTGTAAAATAAGATTTCTTAGGAGGACAGGAGGCTCCAAACTTAGGCCTGAGAACAGGACAGGGTGAACAAGAGCGAAGCAGGCAGGAAAGCAGCCAGAACCCATGGTAAAGGCCAGCTACGTTGGCTAGGGGAAACGTGTGGTTTCCTGAATTGTACCCGTTCAAAGCCATGAACTTGAGAGCATACCATATATCTAACATGTCAGGTCCACAACTGTCCCTTCAGTCACACGTCAGAGTGATTTTGAAAAGGTTATTTACAGTCCTGGGCTCCTCTGTCCCTGTGCATTGAGTCCTGGGCTCCTCTGACTCTGTGCATTGCTCCTGGAAGGGATACGGAGGTGGAGGCAGCTGTAATGGAAAAATAAGGCTGCAAAGAACTGGGATGGGTACACGTCACAGAGCACCACGTTCAATGTCTTTAAAGGAGAATTTTCCTTTTTTTTCTTTTTGTAATCCTCACCCAAGAATATGTTCAATGATTTTTTAGAGAGAGAAAGGGAGGAAGAAAGAGATATTGATGTGAGAGGGGAACATCAACGTGAGAGAGAAGAAGTGACCAGCTGCCTCCTATAAGTGCCCCAAATGGGGGCCAAACCCACAACCTAAGTATGTGCCCTGACCAGGAATAGAACCTGAGATGTTTTAGTGTATGGGATGATGCTCCAGCCAACTGAGCCACACTGGCCAGGGCCTGAGAGGAGGAATTTTAAGCTAGAGTCACTGGGCCTCCTCTGGGTACCATAGTGGGATTTCAGGAAACTGCACACCCTGAATTGGTATAGACTGAGTGTGTGTGTGTGTGTGTGTGTGTGTGTGTGTGTGTGTATTTGTGTGTCTGGAGCGGAAGCCTCAGATTTCATTAGGTTCTTGTGTCTTTGGTTATAAGACCTTCTCCTTCTTTGGCTTTATCAACTCAAGTGGGGCTCTGCTAAGCCCATCATTATCCATTAAGGGCTGAGGGGGTGGCGAGAGGTGGGGATGACAGGGAATTAACCATGTGGAAGGCTTCCTATTAACTGAGTGAATAGATGTGAATGCATTAGAGAGTGCCCAGCATATACTAGTAGAAGGACCTATAGACATTCACTCTTATTATTACTATTACTCTTTGCTAAATGCTTTATGTTTTCTGAACCTCACAACAACACCATGAGGTCAGCATAAACCTCATGCTGTAAAATAAACCCTTGATTTTGTGGAACTTGATTAGATAGACTTTAGATTTAATGAAAAACAAATTTCCAGTCTATATGTCCTATGTGAAAAATAACACCCTATTAATTTTAAAATGCTTTTAACCAAGATTTGTTAATAACTAAATTAACAGATTAATTCTTTGTTATTAACTCACTGTTATTTTTAACAAATTTTAGCAAATAGGCCATATGTTGGGGAAAAATACTGTAGTAATTTCACCAACAAAGTACATATTACATATCTACAACTATGGTCAACATATTTAAATCTAAGAGTCACCTCTAATAAACAATGTTCAGTGAGTGATTAGCATGCGATCACGCTGCATGGCGTAAGGTAACGGGTTCTGCAGCAGTTTTAACGCCTGCTGGCTGATGTTCCCATATGCGTTAAGCTGTGGGTATCTGTTCATTTGCAGTGACTGGTGAGTGCATGCATTTACTAGATCTATTCAGTATAAATTTAAAATTACAGTCATACATCTAGGAAGCTTTCCTGTGAAATTAAACTTTTCATACATACCTAATTTTAATTACACAAACATGTCCGCGTAAGTAAAAGCAGGTAAGCTAATTTGTCAACTTTTTAACATATACATTTGGAAAACCTACTTTATTCTATAGTGGGCTTTCAGCTTCCATATACACCTCCTCGCCTGAATTACTTTTACTGTATCCTATTTGTGAGGGAAGGAACTCAGGGACTATGTAAACTAACCCAGGGTCACACAGCGAGTGGTAGAGTTCAGAAGTCATTCCAAAGCTTCGGCTCTCTGTCTCCATCCCATGGCCAGATTACTGGGCAGGTTTTCTGGGAAGGCAGCCTCCCTGGCTACGCTGAAGGCTTTCACATCCAAAGCTCCAGGGTCATGCTCTCTCCCTGAGTGTGTCCATCGTAACAGGCACTGAGCCTAAAAATTAGCTTCTTCGAGCCAGGGCAGTATCTATTTCCTCATGTATGATGACTCCAGTTATCCCACTCAAATTCCACACACAAAGCCAGTTCCTCTCCTCAGGTACGAAGTGATAAGTGAAGAAGTAAATCACAGCTATCACAAAACCCTTCTCTCTCTGATGCAGCCAAGTCAAAGGCCAAAAGGGAAGACCTGTTTTTTCTCCAGTGACCAACCAGAGAGAGAAAGCTCTAAATGGAGTCGCCTATCTTTTGGTTTTCAAATCCATGCTAAGAACTGCAGATAAATATCAGCTACTAAAATAGCCTTGCTAAAACCACGTGAGAGCCCTGACAATTGCATTGTACCGAGCACTTTTTATGTGTCTGCACTTATGCCTCAACGGAGCCAAGCTGGCTGGCTAGATGTCATGTGATTTTAAATATATTTTTATTGATCTCAGAGAGGGAGAGAGAAAGAGATAGAAACATCAATAACGAAGGAGAATCATGGATCGGCTGCCTCCTGCACGCTCCACATTGGAGATCAAGCCCATAACCCAGGCATGTGCCCTTGACTGGAATCCAACCGGGACCCTTCAGTCCGCAGGCCAATGCTCCATCCACCGAGCCCAACTCCCTTGCTTTTCCCTGCAGCCGCTTCTCTGAAACCTGGCCACGCTCAGGAGAAGCCAAGACTGATGGGCTTTATAAGAAGGAGATCTGGGTTCCAGGTCCTGCTTTGCCACTTACTAGCTTTGTCGCCTTGGGCAGATCACTTAACCTTCCAAAGTCTCCATCAGTTTCCTCTCCTGCGCCACGCAGACCAGTGTTCCCTGGTGCACAGATCCAGGAGACAATTCGAGCTACGACTTCAGTGGTAAGCAATGTCAGTTACCCCCTCCCTAACCCACTAATTCAAACACTGGGTGGTGGCCCTTCTCAGCCTCCTCACTGCCCACCGCCTCCTCTGCCAGCCACCTCTCCTCCCTAGTAGCTGCTGCTTCGTTTCCCCTTCATTTCGTTTTCTGGCCTCATAGGAAGGGGTGCTGGGAGTCTGACAGCTTTCCTTCTTCCTACTGGGCTCTGGGAATGTGTCTGTCCTTCCCGAGGACCCGGAGCATCCGGATCCAGCTCTGCGTGCCTCTGCCCTAAGTGCCCTCTACCCCTGGGCCCCAGGCCAACTGGCCGCACGTCCCGCCCCTCGGGAGGGGTGTGACCCGGGAGCTTAGATAGGACGTGCCTGCTGTCGGGCACACCCGGGGCGCGGAGCTTCCTGTGCGGCGCAGCCTCTCCTCTCCGGGCGCACGCGGAGCGGAGCGGCCGGGATCTCCTCTGCCCCGGACTTGGGGGGAGCCCCTGGCCCTCCCGCAGCCCCAACGCCGCCCGCCCGCCATGAAGCCGTCATTCTTCCGCTGCCAAAACACCACGTGGGTGGAGAAGGGCTACTCGGCGACCGTGGGCTGGGTGCTCTTCAGCGCGGGCCTCCTGGGCAACCTGCTGGCGCTGGGGCTGCTGGCGCGCTCGGGGCTGTCGTCCTGCTCGCCGCGCTCGCCGCGCCCGCCGCCCTCGGTGTTCTACGTGCTGGTGTGCGGCCTGACGGTCACCGACCTGCTGGGCAAGTCCCTGCTCAGCCCCTTCGTGCTGGCGGCCTACGCGCAGAACCGGAGCCTGTGGGGGCTGGTGCCGCCGCCGTCGGGCAGCTCCCTGTGCCAAGCCTACGCCTTCTTCATGTCCTTCTTCGGCCTGGCGTCCACGCTGCAGCTGCTGGCCATGGCCCTGGAGTGCTGGCTGTGCCTGGGGCACCCCTTCTTCTACCGCCGGCACGTCACCCCGCGCCGGGGCGCGCTGGTGGCTCCCGCCGCGGGCGCCTTCGGCCTGGCCTTCTGCGCGCTGCCCTTCGCGGGCTTCGGCCGCTTCGTGCAGTACTGCCCGGGCACCTGGTGCTTCATCCAGATGGGGCACGAGGAGCGCGCGCCGTGGGTGCTGGGCTACTCGGTGCTCTACGCCAGCCTGCTGGCGCTGCTGGTGCTCGCCATCGTGCTGTGCAACCTGAGCGCCATGCGCAGCCTCTACGCCATGCACCGGCGGCTGCGGCAGCGCCAGCGCGGCTCCCTCACCCGGGACCGCCCGGAGCCCAGCGACAGGGTGGTGTCCCCGCCGCCCCTGGAGGAGCTGGACCACCTGCTGCTGCTGGCGCTCATGACCGTGCTCTTCACCCTGTGCTTCCTGCCTTTGATTGTGAGTCGCTCCACCCGGGGCTGCGGGGCCGCGGGCGCGCGGGGAGCGGGAGGGTGGAGGCGCTGCGCTCCCGGCCAGGAGGGCTGGTGGCCGGTTGGCAGAACCTTTCCTCTCTGCTTCCCTCGGGGAAGGTGAGTTACTTTTTGGGACGGTGACCTTTGGGGAGAACTCCGTTCCTCCTTGGCAAGCAGGGGTCCTCTCCTGCCTCCCGGTGACTCATTAATGTTTTATTTCGTTAGACCTGTCCGTGCCTGTCATGTCATCCGTAGCGATCGGATGGGATCTGAGAGTTCTCCTCTGGGGTTTTGGCGTGGAAAGGGAGGCAGAGGAGGAGTGATCCTGCCCGCATGGTCTGCAGAGGCGAGTGCCTGGCAGCACAGGTTTAGTTTTTCAAGACTCCTGCGGTAGCTTTGAGGGGTCCGGGTGCTTGCTGCTGTGTCTGGTGCTGCTGCCGGCGGGGGTGGAGGTGACTGAGGCGGAGAGGCGGTTTGGGAAGCACTTCTCTGCCACTGGTGTCATTTTGATGACCTGTCTGGACAGGTTGGTTGGTTTTCTTTCTGTCTTGGCAACCGAGGTGACACAAGCAAAGGCATTATCGGTGGTTTCAATTTACTAATGGGGATGCGGGGTGGAGATTAAAGGCATTTCCTCCTGGGGTCCCAGCCAAGACTGGGGTCCCATAAGGCACCTAAGAATGTGGCTGTGGCCTGAGAAAACTTTTTCAGGGTCACTCCTCGCCCTCTCGCCCCATTCCCGACACCCCCCCGCCGGGTACTTGTTCAACATGAGCAGCATTTAAACAGATGAAATGCCAAGTCAATGCTTTTGGAATTCTTGAGACTTCTGTGAATAGGAAAGTCAAATTTCTTACAGCAACGTAGCACTTTTGGTTGTTACTTTCAAGGGTGGATGAAAGTGACATATGCTGTGATGTTCCCTTAAGGGAAAAGGCTTTAATGAAGGCTTTCACGAGTGTGTGTGTGTGTGTGTGTGTGTGTGTGTGTGTGTGTGGAGGGGGGGTCTATGGCTTCATCATGCAGAGTCAGGATCAGAGCACCCACAAATAAGTCAATCAATCTGTAGCTGTATAAACAGATGTGGATATAGGTGTAGATATGTCAAGCAGTGGTTCCCCAATTTTACCACGCTCCGAATCATCAGCAGGGCATTTAAAAAACATGGCCAGCTGGACTCCATTCCCTGGTTTCTGAGTCAGACGCTTTTGAAGAATTCTCATTCTTGGCAAGTTCGCAGCAGGTAAAGTGGGAGCTGCTGATTCAGGGATCACATTTGGAGAAACACACTCCGAAGTAAGACTTGGCCAACCACAGCCCACAGGCCAAATCCATCTTGCACACTGTTTCTGCACAGCCATGAAAGTAAGAATAGTTTTTACAGATGAACACTTGCAATCACTTTGATGATAGGGTACATGAATCTGACCCTCCAGTTAAGCCAAACGTTATTCCAAGATAAAAAGATTCTTATTATTCTCCTGAGTAGACATGTATTACAAAAAAAATGTACTTAACTATTATTACAGTAGAGTCCCAGTGCTAGAATTCATGCATGGCTGGGCTTCAGCCATAGGGGAAGAGGGGGTGCTGATCAGGTGCTGAAAATCCCCATGGAATTTCCAGTGGAGGGAACAATTTGCATATTAGCCTTTTATTATATAAGATTTTTAATTTCGTTAATAAAAGTTGTAGGAAATGTGTCTTCTCTCATTATATAAGTACCCACAATTTGCTTTTTATCCCATAAAATAGAAAATATTTACTGATAGAAAATGTTTGCTGACCCCCTGCTCTAAGCAATAGTCTTATTTACTCATGCTATGATAAAAGCAGACAATGGCCAAGTATATGGATATTATGTCCTGAGTTTGAGTGTTTCCAGTAGAACAATGTGGAAAGAAGCATAACACAGTGGAAAGATCATCATTTCTGGATATATCTCTAAGGAAAATTAAGTGACTCAAGGGATTGCGAGGACTGATGGGAATAGTGGATTGAAAATGATTTCCTAAAAAGCATGTAAAATTCCAAAGATATGCAATGCAGACAGCATTCTCCACGGGAACTATCATTTTCTGGAAAGGGTAAGGAATCCGCATCAGACACGAGTGTGAATAAGGTGTGTTCCTTACTAGCTATGACAGTTACCTTTCTAACCACAATTTCTCTCAGGCAAGGATAACCATACTTGCTCTGAAAGATAGCTATAAAGATCTGAAGTTTTACACACACACACACACACACACACACACACACACACACACACACACACATATTTCCAAAATATACATATACTAGTACACACTTTGAATAATTATAAAGGCAATGTTGTTAAAATACATTCAAAATTGAACTATCAGCTATTAAAGTGTGGATACATTTTGTGGGGAAACCCTGTATATATAGCTCCTACCCAGACACCTGGCCTAAAAAATTAGTGTCACTGCTACCACTAATGATTATTATTTCCATTTATTATTGCCTGATGGACATAGAACATTAAGAAATATGGTCTCTGGATGGACATGGAGAGCATTATGCTAAGCGAAATAAGCCAGTTGGAGAAAGATAAATATCATGTGCTCTCACTCATTTGTGGAATTTAGTGAACAACATAAACTAGTAAACAAAAATAGATCCAGAGACAGAGAAACATTGAACAGACCATCACACCTCAGAAGGAAGGGAGAGGGTCCTGTGTGTGTGTGTAAGAGATCAACCAAAGGACTTGTATGCATGCATATAAGCATAACCAATGAACACAGACACTAGGGGTGTGAGGGCACATGCTAGGGGATGGGAGTGGCCGGGGAGAGGTCAATGAGGGGAAAAGGAGATATATGTAATACTTTAAACAATAAAAAATTAAAAATTGATAAAATGGATAAAACAAACAAAAAAGAAATATGGCCTCCTCAGGAGATAGCATTATATTCTATAATAAGACAGTGGTTCTCAAACTTGTTTTAGTCCAATGACCCCTTTTTACTCTTAAAAATTATTAAGGACCCAAAGAGCTTTAATTTATGTGGGTTATATGTATCAGTATTTCTCATATTAGCAATTAAAAATAAGAAACCATTTAAAATATTATTTTAAAACAAGTTAACAAAATGTACTTCTTGTATTTTTGCAAAGATATAACGAAAATGCTGTGATTTCAAAACTGATTAAGTGAATGATAAAATAAAGATATTATAGCAAATAAAACAGAAAAACAAAAGCATGTTAAGAGCACAGAAGTATGAAGAACAGTCTCTGAAAATGCATATATGTGTTTCTTAAACCAACTACCTTAGAAAGCTCTAGAAAGCACAAGAATACACAGCACATAGTTCATTAGCCCTGGCAATGGAATGGATGTCGTCATACATCAGGTAGCCTCATAAAACTCAGTGTATACCTATGAGAGGATGAAAGGCAAAAAGGCAAATAACGTCTTTGTTATGAAGATAGTTTTGACCCTGCAGACACATTGAAAGGGTATTAGAGACCCCCACACTTTGAAAATCACTCTTCAAGGAATGGATCTAGGGAAAGGGGTGAGACTTTAAGAAACACTTTTATTCATAGCATAAATATTGTATTTCATTAAGCTGATGAAAAGTGTGTTGGAGTATGATTTTTTAAAATTAACTTTGCTGTGATGCTGAATTAGAGCATGATATTTAACTAGACTGAATTTTCACATTTTCAATTTGATTCAGTAGGAAGAAAGTAAGCAAACACAAGATGAGCTTTAGAGGCAGTTTTCAGCACATTCTCTAATGTGGATAACATATTTCCATCAAAATTATATTTATCTTAGAAAACCACAATGAATTGGAGGTTGGTAAGGAGCAGCAGTGGGCGAGAGAGGATGTTCATGTGTAAGTTAGATGTAATAACTGAGAGGTCTAAAAGCCACATGAAGATAAGTAATTGCATATATCCAAGTCCATGGAGGCAGAGAAGTGGTAGAGGACATCTGCATGTATTGCAATAACTCCTTGGGCAGGAGGCTCTTTCCACAGGAGGCTTTCAGAGGCATGTAAAGATTGGTAGGCAAGAGTCGAGCCTGGGGAAAGGGTAGGGAGTGGATTTAAAGGGCTAGAGCAGAGGGCAGAGTAGTGTGATGGGTGGACTGGATAGAAGAGGCCTTAGAATCAAGAGAGCTCTTAGGAATGGAAATAAGGCACTAAGATAGGTCTCCAGAGTTGGCAATAGCAACATTTTCTCCAGGATTTCTAAATCCAACAGAGGGCGCTTTTCTCACACTGATTCTCTGTGTAAACTGACATACTTAAAAAATGCCAGGTGTATATTCTGAGGTTATTCAGTACTTTAGCCTCTTTTATAGAAGCAGTTTATAAAGTATGTTCTAGAGCAGTGTTTCCCAAACTTTTGACATATGTGTACCCCTTCTATAATTTTCATAATGCTGAGTACTCCTCATACTCATGAGAATGTAGAATTAGGCGCAGCTAAGCACGGTGCAGTGCATATCCCCACCAAACTCTTCCCGTACCCCTGTGGGTACGCGTACCACACCTTGGGAAACACTGTTCTAGAGAATACTTTTGATGGGCAGAGATTTTTCAAAAGTCGGAATTGTTTTCAAATTGATAATTTGTAAGAATCAATAGAAAGTTTACTTTGATCACTGTCATAAATGAAGTTGTCATATTGTTAGTAAACTAAAAAATTAAAAATAAATTTTATTAAATTAAAAGTTCAAGTATAGAACAATACACTTCTATTACAAATCAGGTGACCTGAAAATACAATTAACTTAATAATATGCAATAGGATTAACTTGGACAAATACTACTTAAAAATAAAATGATTTGTTTTAATTTTATAAGTTCCACTCAATGACCAAGGTCCCAGCTAGTCTAGTAATTTCCAAATACTTGGGATTGCATTTTGCTGCACTACACTTCTAGGAGAAAGGAACAAATGTATAAGCATTTGCTTTTTAAACTAACCAAATTGCATAGCCTGTTGTCAGCCATTTATCCATCCAGCACATGTCTTGTTACCTACAACAATCAATATACTGTAAGTCATTGTGGAGATATAAAATGAGAAAAAACATCACATATGCCCACATACACTATAATACCGGGGTGGGTGAGAGTAATTAGGCCCATAATTCAAATTCCCTGACAATCCTGGAAGGTAAGAACAAGCACCCGCACTGTGCAGCTGAGGCGACGGAATAACTTACCTGATGTCACACAGCCAATGAGGGGACTCTAACCCAGAGACTCAGGCTCCAAAGCTAGTGTGCGTGCCAACTACTTCACTGGGACTTCGTGAAGGGGGTGACATTTGAGGTTGGTCCTGAGAGACGATAGGATTTGGGCACACAATCAGTTTCCACTTCTCAAATGGAGATAATGGTCGTACTTCCTTCCTGGGCTTTTTATGAGGATGAACTGATGTTTTCAAAGTAAAATGCTTAGAACAGGGCCTGGGAACATGGGAATTCGCTTAAATTATTATCACTATTAGTATTATTAAGCCCTGATGATGGGAGAGGTCTTCCAGTTAAGTAAGATGGGAGTTGCTGGGGCCATTAAAATGCTCTGGAGAGAGTGAGCAAAAAGGGAAGGAAACAATGATGGGAAAACACATCTTCCCCAGCAGATGCCCCCTGATTGCCAAAAGTGGTCTGGTCTGTGCACTTACTCATCTCTCCTCCCACCCATGTTGAGTTAGCCTATTTCCTGTCCCATTAGGGTCCATTTTGTCCCATTATGGATTTGGAATCTCAGTGGGCACAGGGAGTAAAATAGTATCGAGAAAAAGTGGCTGGCCTCCAATGGAGAGGGAGATAGTGGTAGTGCTAGGCTAGGCAGCAGTGTTGGCTGAATGGCAGGAAAAGCCAGTCAGTAGTTTGCAGGCTCAGACAGGGTCACAGAGACCTCAGAGAGAATCAAGGTAGTAAGAGTGACTGGGCACAGGTAAGTAGGCTTATATGTCCGTGTGTGTGTGTGTATTTTTAGTGTGAAAGGAGAATGTTGACCTCAGAAAGGTAACCATCTATGCTAAGTGATTAACATGAGTTGGCCTGGTCCTTTCGAAGGTCTCCTGTCTTTCATTGGAGTATTTCCTGTCTTCACAGACACTAGAAACTGCTATTTCATTGATGTCTCCGTATGGGTGACATTTCACAAGGGTGACTTATTTCTAAATTGACTAATAAGAGAGGATAGGGCCCTGGCCAGTTTGGCTCAGAGACTAGAACATCGGCCTTGTAGACTGAAGGGTCTCTGGTTCAATTCCAGTCAAGGCACATGCCCAGGTTTCGGGCTGGATCCCAAGTAGGGGGCGTTGCAGGAGGCAGCCGATCAATGATTCTCATCGTTGATATTCTATCACTTTCTCCTTTTCCCTTCCTCTCTGAAATCAATAAAAATATAGGTTTTTTTTTGTTTTTAATATATTTTTTATTGATTTTTTTACTGAAAAGGAAGGAAGAGGGATAGAGAGTTAGAAACATTGATCAGCTGCCTCCTGCTTTTTAAAAGAGAGAGGATAGGAAGCAGGCAGAAGGAAGAAAGGAGAACTGAAGAGAATATGGGCAGAGAACCTCAGTATTATGGAAGTGTGGTGACCTGTTTGTAAAAGATTCAGTGGACTGAATTAGTCCCACCTCAGCTCCTGCTCTGCAGGGCCAGGCAGGGGCCTAGAAACTCCCATGCTCACAGCAGGTAGAATAGCCTCTAGGGACTTACACGGGGCTTCCCAGGGTCCCCACTTCCATGAGCCTCCCTTGTGGCTCTGCACCTCCCAGGCTCCTCACTTGCACCATCAGTTGCAGTAACCTTGCCCCACATGCATAGTCCAAGCCACGCTGCCATATTCCTACAGAAAAGCAATGTATCCTGATCGAAAAAAGTGAATGTATTGCTGCCATCAACCTTTCAACATTATAATGGATCTGTTTTCCCTTTAAAACAGTATCGTGCTTACTATGGAGCATTTAAAGCTGTCACCAAGAACAGAATATCTGAAGAAGCCGGAGACCTCACAGCCTTGCGTTTTATATCTGTGATCTCAATTGCGGATCCCTGGATTTTCATCATTTTCAGGACATCAGTGTTTCGGATGTTTTTTCACAAGATTTTCATAAGGCCTCTTAAGTACAGAAACTGGCCCAGCAATTCCTGCCAAACGCACATGGAATCCAATCTGTGACAAAGTCTTACAGTCTCTGGTAAGCTGAGGAATGTATCACATTTACCATCAAAGAACCATGTTAAAAAAAAGAAAGAAAAGAAAGAAAGCATTTCCATTTAAATCCTACAAAGTTATCTCCCATCACAAAACATCCAAATGTATTTTCTAAAGTATTGATATCTTAACAAGGCATTGTCACTCTATGTACTTGAACCAGTGAGGTACTTTTTTTTTTTTTTCCATTTCAAGGTAGTAATAGTGACTAGAATTTTAAATATTGTGGCTAATGTTAAAAGTTTTAAGGCAATGACATTAATTGTTCCAACATATGTACTTGGTGTCCCAAATTTTTTAGAAAGGTCTTGAGACGACTAGGTCTAAACCTAGTAGAAACACCACTGTTTACAGTTACGTGATGGGTGTTTTTAAAATGTCTTGTTCATTTCTAGTGAAACCTGCTTTTTTATTTTGTATCACAATTACCCATTTATTATTATTTTTTCCATCTGATCTGAGTATGTCTGGATTATAGATGTTCCTCAGAGAAATAAGATGGGAATTACTACCACGTCAGGGTTTGGAGAGGCAAAGCTATCCATAAGTAGATTTAAGGCAACATGTGTCTGTGCCCACTCCCCAGAGAAGAAAAATCAATGCTTATTGTTTGAAGTGAGGTTTCCTGTGTATTGAAGCAGGAATATCAGTAGAATCAAAATTTGGGAGTGGCTACAAAATATTGTTTCAATTTTGGGTACCTGCATTTTATAAGTTGATCATACTAATGGATGTTGGGGAGGAAGGATTTATGCTTCTTTGAAAGCAGTGATGTGAGAATTTCCAGGGAGCCGAGCTGAGCAGAGCTGAGCTGAGCCATGTTTACTACCTGATTGTGCAAAGCAATCAGTTTCACAAATGAGTGGGATCATCATCATTCACAGCAGAGTGAAAAGCCTGCCCAGGACTCAGTCAACCCCAGCTGAGGGTGGTGGCAGGGACCTTAACATCTACCGATTAACGGCCGTATTCTGCTCTTTGTGGAAACAGTAAGACCTTATGGAGGTTTTGGAGAGCTGTGCACTTTTAAAATGAACAGGATGGGCTCAGAGGGAGCATAGCTGAGCACTTTAATTGTACATTAAATGTTTGCAAAGGTTAGCAACACTATGAAAGGGGAGCAAGTGGGGAAGATACGCTGCAGCTGTTAAACTAAAGTACACAGGCAAACCAAAGGCTTTCACCTTTGGTGAAAAAACAGATGGGGTGGGGGCTGCAAAATAAATATGTATCTCCCAAAAAAAAAAAAAAAAAAAACAGATGGGGGACATTTGGGCATTTTCAGCATCTCTAGCGTCCCTTGGTACCCTGACACACGCCGACTCGGAGATGGAGAGCCGGCTGCCCTTGAACAGACCCGAGATGCCAGCTCAGCCACCCCTTCCAAAGACAAGAGCATTGGACTTATTGCTAACGTAGCAGCAACCCCACTCTCCACCTCTGGTTTATATCAGCAATGATATTAACCTGGATACACACGTGTGTGTGTGTGTGTGTGTGTGTGTGTGTGTGGCAACACTGTGAAATGGCCAATTAGGAATACATGAGTTATAATTTGGGAGTATGATGTGATGAAAAATGCAGTCATTTTCAGTTTAATTATCATTTGTATATTTAATGTGTGAGTACATATGTGTTTTATTGTGGAGGAAGTTTTTTTGTATTTTTCTTTTGGAAGGTATGTCGTGATAATTGTCAAGGTCATCAGAAAAGGTTACAGGTGAACCAATAAACATCTTTATAATATTTTGCTGAGGAAATTACTTTTCTTCTAAAAAAATGAAAGAGGTTTTGTTTTCTTTTTTTGAATAAACTATCCCAGGAGTACTTCTTTCTTTAGCAGTTTAATGGGCTGTTCTACCAGCATTTATATTACTTTAAATAAGTCAGCGTAGGTTTATCCAAGGACTTAATGACCCTGTCTCTAGAAAATGGAGATAAGCTACCCCGATGACATTTATGTTAAGTTAAAAGCCAACACTTCTATGATCTTCACTGGTTTATTCATTAGTTCATTAGATAAGTCTTCATTGACGCGTACATTGTACCAGGGTTAGTGCTGAGGAAAGGAACACATACAACTCAGAGCTGGCCAAGAGCAATGGAGGACACAGGCACGTACAGTCACGGTAGAGAGTAGAAATCCCAATAGCGAATGTGCACACAGAGCTCTCAGAAGAGGAGGCATCAACTAGGGAAGACGTGGAGCGTTGCTAGAGCTTCTGAGTGAGAAGATGCTAAATCAAGAACTGAAAATGAGTAGGAATTTTGACTCCAGTTCAAAACTGTTCAACGGACACAAAGCTATGATTTACATAAGAGAAGATAGATATGGTTAATAAGTATAGAAAAATGTCCTGCCTAATCAGAGAAGTGCGAAATTAAAATCCAATTCTCAAGGACCAGCCGAAGTATGACTCTCAATAACAGAAGCTGTGATGGATTAAGCAGCATGAATATTCCCCTGGTGAGTTTGTCAGTGTGTTCACCTTTTCTTATTTGCCACCTGAGAGTGTAGATCAAGAGCCTAAAAGTGTTCTTTTCTACTGTTCCGGTAATCCCAACTTAGAATTCTCTCCCAGGAAACAATCAAAGGGGAGGGCACAGGTATGTACAAAACCTCATTTACAATAGTTAAGATTGGGAAACAGCCCAAGTGCCCATCAGCAGGTGACTGGATTAAAAAACAATGGTACATCTACACAATGGAATACTACACTGCTGTAAAAAAGAAAGAACTCTTACCATTTGCCAACAGCATGGATAGACCTGGAGAGCATCAGGCTAAGTAAAATAAGCCAGTCAGAGAAAGATGCATATCACATAATCCCACTCATTTGTGGAATATAATGAACAACAAAACTCTTCTTTGTACTATATATAGTAGCACAAAAATGAAAAAGAAACCATCTAAGTGGCCAAAGCAAGGGTTAAACAAACTCTTTAGAAATATATACACACAAACATATAGAAACATTATACAGCCATTAAAAAAATGTTTTCAACACATTTATGAAAAATGAGAAGAAAGCTTAGAGTGCAATAGTAGGTGGGGGGAAAAGCATGATGCAAACGGAATATGATCCATAAAAGTACATATGTAGGAAATGCCTTGAAAAAATAGATGAAAGTGTGAACCAGTTACCTTTTTTTATGAATATATTTTACATAATTCTTTGTATTTTCCAAGTTTTAAAATAAGCCCATATTTTTTTTACATGAAACTATTTTTTCCTCTGTCCTACCTCCCCCCTAAATCTATTTTTTAAAAGAATGAATAGCCGGGGCCGGTTTGGCTCAGTGATAGAGCGTCGGTCTGTGGACTGAAAGATCCCAGGTTTGATTCCGGTCAAGGGCATGTACCTGGGTTGCGGGCACATCCCCAGTAGGGGGTGTGCAAGAGGCAGCTGGTCAATGTTTCTCTCTCATCGACATTTCTAGCTCTCTATATCTCTCCCTTCCTCTGTAAAAATCAATAAAATATATTTTTTTTAAAAAAGAACCACTGCATTCATTTAAAAGAATGAATAGAAATGGGCTGAGCAAATGAAGGGGAAAGGTATGACAGAAAGCTCTCCAGTCTGAGGAATGGCGTGTGCAAAGCCACGGAGGCATAAAGGAGAAGGCCGTATCCAGGCTCCTTAGTAACTTTATTGGCAGAGATTTAGGACTCTGAGCAAAGGATGCTGGCAAAGAAGCTGAAAACAGAGCAAGTTTTGCATCCTAAAGGATGTTGGGTGCAGCCGGGGAGGGCTGCAGCTCTGTGAGGCCTGGATACTCCCTGCAGACTTTGAAGCCAGGGTACAATTGGAATGGAGGTTGCGGAAGATCATACTGGTGGCCCGGACTGAGGACAGGGCAGGTAGGGGCGCCAGGTGGGCAGACGTGGGTGTGCTGGGCCCTGGGCAGCTATGTGCAGTCAGTGCACTGGGCCAGGGTGCAGACTAAAGAAGTGAGTGGGACCCCAAAACAGCCCTGGTCCTGCTTTCCTGGCTGTGGGCTGCATCAACTCAGAGGAAAGGGACCTTTCTATTTGGAGAGGCACAAAGACACCGAATATGCAGGCCCCGCAGTGCCCTCCTGTAAAGGAGGGAAAGAGGCGAGGAGCTGCTGAATTCAAGCAGTGGGAGGGAGAGAGGGGTCACACAGCTTTAGTAGGTACAGCTGATAGGAAGGATTCCTACTTACGATGACTCAGTCATGCCTTTTGGTCCTTCAGTTGCATTGATTTGACCATCTCCCGCTTCTTAGTTTCAACATTTCAATATATTCAGGAACAAGTGAGGAAAGGAAAAGATTCCGAAGAAACCTCCCATTTCCCCCAGTGCATCTGAACAAAAGACTGCAGCGCTGAATCCAGGGAAGTTTCTGAGTTATCTCTGGACTTTAATTGTAATACCATCCAGTCAAGTGCTTAAGGGCCAACTTTGCTCAGAAAGCCATCAAAGGCTGTCTGGGCCAGGCACTGCTGAAACGTTAGGGGAGAGAAGGAGTGCCAGAAGGAGTACCCAGAACTCACCAGCCATGCAGCTTCCCTGTTCATGGTCTCCAGCTCCAGGCCAGCACTTCTCCAGGCCCGGGGTCTGGACCAGCATCACCTGGAACTTGTTAGAAATGTAGGTTTTCCGGCCCTACCCAGACCCGCTGGATCAGAAGCTCTGGGGGTGGGGCTGGCAAGCTGAGTTTTAACATGTTCTCCAAGTGATTCTCATGCCAATTAAAGTTTGAGAACCACTAATCAATAAAAATAAATAAACAAACAAATAAATAAATAAATAAGAAAATAAAAATGCAATAGACTCCATTTATAATGTTTCTCTGATCGCTGGCTCTCAGATTTAATCATTCACACCTGACTCCCTCTATTCTATTAAACTATTTTTCTTATTTTCCCCTAACAACTAACATGTACTATAAACATGTTATACTAGATGCCTGGTGCATGAAATTTGTGCAGGGGGTGT